CCGTGCCGTACTAATCCGAATCCCGGGTTCGACTTTAGAAACGTCCAATAACAGTTGTTGCATCAGAAAATTTATTAGCAGTCGGTGGGTATGTACACTAGACGGAGACATTCCTCACCTAGTCGGTCGTCTCGTTTAAAAGTCTCCGGCAATACCTATACATTTTTAAAACGCCTCTCCCCTATTAACTTACGTTATCATGTATGCCCAGTCGTCCCATCTGGGGAAGAGTTAAGCTTTCTAGGACCCGCCCGCTTCGGACGCCTCTAATAACGCCGTATCCGTAAGCGGTCCCGAGCCAACAAGTTCCATCCCGAGAGGTTCCAGGCTCGCACTACTGCAGAGTTAGGACTAGCTCTTGCATACTAGACTTGCAATAAGAATTGCTGATTTATAATACAACTAACTAAACTAACCAACTCAACGTCTTTAACTGACTATGTACATACACACGCGGCTTTGATCTGCCTAACCGGCGTAATTTCTGCGTCGTATACCCATGTTGCGAGAAAGATTACAAATGACAACATTCTCTCTGCTAGACTCTGATTAAGTAAGTTGATCCTATGTAGATATGTATCATTTGTTACCCAGAATCTTGTTCAACTACGGGAGGATTTGTATGTACGAGGCGAAAGCCGTAACGCTACACGACCCCGTCGTTAAACCCAACGGATATTTCCCAAATGAAAGATATGACTGTATATTTCAACGGAAAACGCGACCGATGTAAATACGTATGTATATATGTACAAATAGCCCTTTACCCGGCTATAGATTACAGCCCCCCAAAACGATGGTTTGCTAAGTGAGAATAAAGGGACCTGCACCAATTGGTATTCCTGCTTCTTTAATCGTATTAAGATGCACATTAACTTCACTACTATTTATTAGCACAATAGTAAAGGATTTCGGAGCAAGTCTTTAAAATCATAAATAGTCGATTTTGGTATTACAGAGGCTGTCCTCTTGTCTCCAGTAAAAACTATGTATCATGCTAAGTTGCAACGGGGAATTAGTAGACTGCTAGTCGAGGGAACACATTATCATACACCTGGGAACTGCGCCCTATCACTCATCAAAAACCCAAGGCAAAGGAGCCAATAGGGCATATGCTTTTTCTTCTTCCTTTTTTTGTAGTAACGTATTATCATTTAGCTTAAAGTTCACTGTTCAGCTCTTTCGCCTAAGCCACCCCTGATAGCCATCCTTTTCCGTAATCACCTAGGTATACAAGCGTCTTGCGAAGCTTTACCAAGCTCGCCGAAGACGTAGAATAAACGGCAGCAACGCATCATCAACTATGAATGATAACGGTCAATTCATGCCGAAATCGAACGTTCGCCTCCCGCAAAAGCATTACGAACTGTCCGTGCCGTCCGAACCATCGAGTCCAAGTAACGCCTTACCAATGATGTCGATATCCTCGGAATCGTCCTTACCCTCTCCTTCACCGTCACCATCGCCCTCGCCATCGCCTTCTCCGTCGCCCTCTCCTTCGCCTTCACCTTCCTCGCCGCCGCTGCCAATACCTAAAAGTTCCTTCTCCATAGGATCTAGGTCGTCTGCGTCTTCCATTGTGACATCACCATTGGTGTTGCCGTTTTGCTTGAGCTTGATTGTATTTGCCTTCTCTGGGCTGCCGTTCCTACCACGTTCGCCATGCGGGTCAGGCGAGGCGTAATCAGAGGGTGGGCCTGCAGTACGCTTTTTAGAGGCTAGTACGACACCCAATTCGGGTCGACCATCCCAGCGCCGAAGCCGCCGATCCGTTCTTCTCAGTGCCGCTGAGTACGATGCGAACTCTTCGCCGAAGTCGTCGTCTTCTTGATGAAGTTGACAAAGACCACCAAAACCTCGGTCTATGAAGAGGTGCTTGTGTTCCCTATGCGATACCATATATTCCTCTTCATCGCTGTCTACAAGAGCATCCTTCATGGCAGCTAGACGATGCTTGGCACGTATGATGGCGCCTTCCTGTCGACGCGCCTTTCGAGCACGATGATGCTGCTTGCGTAGCCCGCGACCGAGGATATGCTCAACTCGCTGGTTTCGGTTTCGCTCTACTGCTAGTTGATGCGCCGTGGGAGGACGCGGCTTTCGAGGAACGATTCCCTCGATAACGTGGGATCCTGGCCCTGCAGGTGACGAACCGTCGAATATCAAGTTCTTTAGGGGTGCCCCGCCTCGTCGTCCGGTACTGCTAGCACCAAGTCGGGACAAGGCTCTTGGTGGAGGAGTGGATCGTGTGCTATCCATATCCGACTCGTGTTTCGATGGGCGTATTCGAGGGAGGATAGCGGCCGTTGGTCCTTCATCGGCCAAGACTCGTCCTCTAGAGCCACGCTTATTCTGATGGTCTGCCAAGTAGGCTTGGTCGGCTGCTATTATTCTGGCCCTGTGATTTTGCTTCTCACGACCGAAGTCAATCTCTTCGCGAGGGTCAATATTCTCACGATCCTCGTCTTCTGCAGTCATTTCTTCCATCCGTGGGACACCTTGATTCGCCACTTCAGTGCCATAGTCTACACCGGGGCCGAATGGATTCTCTTCACACCCTTCCTCAGTAAAGTCCGACTCGAGATAGAACCACATTAGCCATAAAAATGCTCTTGCACGGGACTTGCTCGTGTAATTTGTCTTCATAATCAAGTCGTGGAATTCACCACCAGGAGGGAAATGTAATTCTGCGATATAGGATGCTTGCTGACATATGAGGAAGATGAGGTTTACTGGGTTCGATCGAGGCGGGTCCTTCCCTTTGAATTCTCCGAGCTCATGTGGTTCAGGTCGATCCTCAGCGGCACCTTTCAAGATAGACTTCAATCTTGGCGCATCTTGGAGCTGTTTGTAGGCAGATGCATCTTGATGAGCCTGCAGGGACGGGATGGCATGATATGTTCGCAGTTGAGCTCGCATCTCGGGGAAAACTAAGGAAGTATCGTTAGCGATAGTGATACAAGTTAGAAGTGAGCGGTAGGGACGTCATTACAGTTAAGCGTCGTATTCATGCGACCCACGTTGACAAGCAAGCACACCATAGCCATGCTCTTTGCGGCCTCCCTGTCACTAAGTAGTTTATCCCTAAGAACCTTACTCGTCTTGCTGCTTCTAGCCATCGTGTCAATATATAGATCGGCAAAGCTCTGCTTCTCCTTGCCATCTCCTACGGGTTCGTAGCTGTTGGTGAAGACCTTCCTGTCATCATCGAAAACAGCCTTGAGAAAGTCGTACTGAATATCTCTTCTCCACAACGGCTCTCCATCATCCTTTTTTAGGTGTCTGATTTTTCCTACTGTAGGGAATGATGATGATGCTCCTGCGCCACCGGTGGACTTATTTTTGGGTCGCTTGCTGCTGTGTCCGGATTCAGACCTAATGATGCTAGCCTCGAGGTTGTCGCCGGGTGTGCTATCTCTCGGGCCCGCACTGGATGCGCGCGACCAGCGGCTTGCCTCTGGTGTTCCGTCTCTTGAAGCCATCGCGAATTCGGACGGTGATTGAAAACGATGTAGGGTTTTAGGTTGGTGGGTAAATGAGAGAGTAGTGTAGGTTGATCTTGTAGGACAATAGTCGGCGATACGTTTTATGGTAAAGGTCTAAGGAACGTAAAGAAAGAAGAAGTGCCTTTAATTAAGGCAACGGTTGCCAGACTATCGTTAAGGCATCATTGAATTGGAAGTTTAAGATGAAATGACAAAGCCTTGCAGGATAGAGGATGCGAAGGTCGATGGGTTGAAATTGAGAAAAGAAAACGAAAGAAAAAAAAAACTGTGTTGGAATCAAAGTGCTCACGCCGTACCTGCTCACGTCGCGTCACCTTATTCAGAGAGGTATGTAGGTACTTTGCATACCTGAAAGTTACTGGGCGCCGGTTGCTCTAGCAGTTTGGTAGGTAGTACGTAGGCTAGTATGTAAATGCATTCGAGGTTGCAGTGGAGCGTCTCACCAGGAACCTTGTTAATGGGCTACAGCCACAGCACCGCGCCACATAAAGTTAGCTCAACAACGGTTACGTAAGGGACCTTAGGTAACGTACCATAATTCACCAGGTTCCAATTGACTAACTTAATTTCTTTCTCACCCAAGATAGTTGGCGTAGGTATATTAACTTGGATAGTAATAATTAATGATTGAAGGAGAACTTGGATAGGGAAGAAAAAAAGAGGGAGAAAAAGGAAAGGATTATAGCGGTCGGTAAAGTAACATAGTCTACACTGTATAAAATATCGAACGTTGCCTAAGTATTGTACTTAATTCAGCGCAGCTCGTTTAGGTGCATTAATCCTGTTACTTACCCCTCACTATCTACGGCGGAAAACTACTGGACAGGTACATATTCTATATCACTGGGAACAAATTGAACAATTTCACGATGCATTGATAATCGCAGTAAAGAAGAACTTTTTTTTATTTGGAAGTTCTCAGTCCGTCGTAGATGGATCCTCTAACGGGACCACCACAGCGCGAAGAACCTCAAAGGGCCTGAAAGCGTCTCAGCCAATGTCTGCGACAGCACTACCATTGGTGGCAGATGGAATCTAAAATAATTCCCTATGCCCTTATCGTCAGAGCAGATTCCAGAACTACTACTTACTCTCCTAACTTTGGAGAGATCTGGAGCCTATGCCTGCTCACCGAGACGCCGTTTTTTGTTGCTCGATCCACCGAAGATTACCATTCTATGTTCATTGCCCTCTATTTGGTTCCCTCGCTATGGCGAGCCTTCTTGAGTAAGAGCCCTACCAACCAGAGAGCCGAGAAATCCACTTTTGTCTATGAATGAATATGCTATCAACACAATTCAACGGCCATGCGAAAACGCATTACCCCATTCTATGGGAAAACGAGAAATAATCTCGGCCGGCTTCCAAAAGGCAAATACGGGGTACATCGAAACGGAAGATCGTCATCGTCGTAAGGTGTCGCCGCGTCTGTAGCACGGCACTACTCTAAGTGATGAATATCCCCGAAGGATGCTTGGTCAAGATACTGATTTGACCTCCAAGCGTCTCACGTAGCTGCTCGCATATACCTCCTCGCAGTCTTCTATGGGTATCAAGTTGTGAGGAGAGCAGCCGAAATAAAGACAGATGCCATCTATCGTACGCCAGAGTCCTATCACGTAGAACTCGTATCTGCCGATCCAGATTGGAGGCTGGAAGTTGGGTATGCCGTAGAAAGGAGTATGTTGAGGGAAGTGTCGAAATGCCAACTAAAAAAAGAAAAGACCTTGCGTAACTCGATTGGAAAAAAACAGAATATGAGTCCGTGAAATCTATGTACCGCATTGCAAATGTGCCAATTCCGTCGCCGCATGCGGTTTGCGGAATAGAGGGAATATATCGGCGTGCGTGACGATATCATCAAAATTACCACCAGGAAGCCTGGCCGCCTGCTCCGCCAGGATTGCCATAGCTACCACCGCCATAGGCTGGGGCGCCGCCGGCGCCACCTCCGCCGTAACCTCCACCGTAGCCCTGGCTAGGAGGAGCGTTGTAACCACCACCGCCGCCACCGAAGCCGTTGGACTGCTGAGGGCCACCAAAGCCGCCGCCGCCGCCGCTACTGAAGCCGCCGCCACCAAACTTTCGGAAATCGCGGTTGGCACCCTGGCCACGGCCGCGGCCACCACCGGACCGCCCGCCACGACTACCGCCGTAGGAGCTTTCTCGAGCAATAGTCTCAAGGAAAGCCGGAACCTCTTGGTTAGCTTCCTTCAACAGCTCGATAAGATCTCGTACAACACCGCGGTTACCTCGGTTGAAGAACGCTGTGGAGTGACCCGTGTTGCCTGCACGACCAGTACGACCAATTCGGTGGACATAGTCGTCAATGTCGGTAGGAAGATCGTAGTTGACAACGTGTGTAACGTTAGGAATATCCAAACCACGTGCGGCAACGGCAGTGGCAACTAGGATAGGGCAACGTCCGTTTCGGAACATCTCCAGAGCACGTTCACGTTCGCGCTGTGTGCGATCACCGTGGATCGACGTGGCGGGGAAGTTTTGGTTGATCAAGAAATCGGATAGAGAATCCGCCATGCGCTTTGTCTCGACGAAGATAAGGGTGAGACCAGCACCATGGGTGTGTAGAATATCCAGAAGAACAGAGCGCTTGTCACTATCCTCAACATACTCAACCTTCTGAGTGATGTTCTCGGAGGTTGAGCCCACACGTCCGACCGAAAGGAAGACGTAGTCCTTAAGGAAATCGCGGGCAAGCATTTGAATATCCCGGGGGAAGGTGGCCGAAAACATGAGAGTTTGTCGGTTTTGGACGCCGGGCATATCTTCGCCTTCAACAATGCGACGGATCTGAGGCTCGAAACCCATATCAAGCATACGATCAGCCTCATCCAAAACTAGATACTTGATATTCTGGAGAGAGATGCGACCTCGCTCTATGAGATCGACCAGGCGACCAGGTGTAGCAACAAGGAGATCGCAGCCGCGCTCGATCTGACGAAGTTGAGAGCCGATGTCAGCACCGCCGTACACCACACAGGGTCGGACCCAAGATCGATAGGCAAATTTGCGAGCCTCATCGTAAATCTGAGAGACCAGTTCACGAGTTGGAGCAAGGATAAGAGATGTGGGATAAGCCTTGCGCTGACGTCCGTAGCCACCACCAGGGGCACCGACAGGCACGGGAGAAGGGCCAGTAAGGAAGGCCTGAGAGAGAATGGGGAAGAGGAAGCCACCAGTCTTTCCAGAACCAGTCTGGGCACAAGCCATCAGATCTCGGCCACCCATGACAATGGGGATCGAGTATTTCTGAACGGGGGTCGGAACTTTGTAGTGGGCTAGCTCAATGTTGCGAATCAGATGGTCATCAAGCGGGGGATTGCTGAAAGTAAGAACGGGCTCGGGAGTATCATGACCGGAGGCCTCGACAGGGATGTCGTCGTACTTCTCAAAGTTGATACCAGTGTGCTGCTTGGAAGGGTCATCCGGTGTACCGAATAGCTCACGCTCCATACGGGGGTTGGGGGGACCAGGAATATGCTTGCCGTCGCGCCACTGTCCGTCACCGGATCCTCGAGCATAGCCGCCGCCACCACCACCGCTGTTTCCACCGGTAGAGGGGTTGCCGTAAGCATTACGGTCAAACTGTCGGTTGTTCCAGCCTCCTTGACGCGGCTGCTGCTGCTGCTGCTGCGGCGGCGGCTGTTGCTGTTGCTGTTGCTGAGGAGGCGGGTAATCGGGACCGGCTGCCCATCCAGGAGCGGGTCGAGCATCGAAGTTGTTGTTACTATAGATGCAATATTAGCAAACGCTCAATTCTTCTTCATTCAATACTTCAACGAAATGATATGTTGACCAGGGTTGTAATCAAGTGCAAGTACAATAATGGAGAGCGAATTACTTACCCAGCCCACGCGCTACTGTTGAGACCGTTCATGTTAGGTGGAGGACCGCCAGCGCCCATGGGAGGAGGACCGTTACCAGGGGCACCGACCTTGCCTCGCATGTGAGGCGGGATGTAAGAACGAGGTTGAGAAGCTTGTTGCTGGTCGCCCAGACTCAAACCACCCATGTTAAGTTGATCAGCCATACTGACGTAGTAATCGCAAGACGGTAGATGTGATATGAATTGTACGTCGATGTATGTGTTTGTTGAAGAAAATTTTCTCGTACGGAACCCAGCCGATTAATTCTCTCTCAAAAGAACGAACGAGTTCAAAAGAAGAGAAGGAGGAGGCAAGGTAAGATAGTACGGCCGGATTTAAAAAATTAAAACCAGATGTCGTCCTAAGGAACCAACAAATATGGTATTAATTGTCGGTAGAAGAGGAAACCACGACGGTATGCACCTTCTCTCTCAATATTATTAAGAGACTCAAATGCAGGAGTCGACGTATGAACCTGTAAGTGATCACACACCAAAGTCTAGTAATAGATGCCTTCCGAGGTCCCTTGAGAAAAGAAAGTAAAACCAGATCTTTTCGAGTAAAAAAAAGGCCCTGAACGGAAGAGAAAAAAAAACACAGAATGCTTTTTCAGGGGGGGAGGGATATGATTATGCCGTGTGGTTGAGGGTTGGATATGGCAAAGGGATTGTGGGGGAGAAGAAGAATCGGATCAGATGAAAAAAAATTTAGGAAGTTTTGAAGTTGTGTCGAAAATCGAGAACGCGTTAGCGCTGGGTCCGTGACTAAGGTGCCTAGACTAGACAGGGCAGGCACGCTGCAACTGTAGTTACCAATAGCAGTCGACTTACCAGTGAGATGGGGGCAATTATTCGGTATCGATATACCTAAAGGGGAAATTGTTAGCAATTATATGCAATTACAACGTAAATGGTATCACGGAAAGTGGGATGTCAGCTAACGTTATCAAGGAACTGGTACGAAGGTCCGGTCCCTAGCACCGTATTTCAACGTCATCCTTTTCTATTAATACTGTATCAGCTACCTGCTAAGCATAAATTTGGATAGCGGCCCGTACGCTAAGTTTAGGTGTCTTACCACTGTATTTATAGCGGCGTCGGCCACTACAGCTTAAATAATACCGTGCGGTCCTTTTTTTACTCACACGTGGTCTGCTAAGACTAGATGGGCAAGTCTTTTGGCCCGGACCTTCGTACCTAGCGATTGCCCCCAGTCTATCTTGACTCCAACGTTTATTGTATGTACATTCTATACATTCTACGTCTGCAATGTATCTGTGTATCTATCCCTTCCTACATGTACATACATAGGTACATGTTCGGGTAACTGCGACAATTTTTATTCCCTTTGCCTCCCTTTGTGAAGGAAAGAGGCCTGGAGCAATCGAAACTTGGGGGTTGCAAATAGTCGAGAAGTCTCACCTAAATTGGCTAGAATACCACCTCTACTGCAGCACCTTTAACCCAAATCTCTATGTACTTAGAAAACTTTCGTTACTGCAACCTTAGATTGCTCAAGCATGCACCAAGTTCAAGTTGGCCAACTTCCCGTCAGAAGATTGCTACGTAATAGGATCATCTCGGATATTCTAGAAGTCTAGAAGTCATCATTACACCTATGTATATACTCATAGAGGTATGTATATAAAATGAGTCAGAATAGAAATAATTCGATAATTTAATACGTTCCAGTGGCAACTACATACATAGATACAGGTCTTAACTTGATCATTTTTCGCCCCGTGGAGTGAACACACCTTCTATGTATATCTATCCGAATCTCGGTATGGTCCGATGGGGGGGTCACTTATGATACCCTTCGCACCCTTTAACCCAGCTGACTTGCACCCAACCTGCCAACCTTTCCCTCTCAGCTTAAATAGGAAGCGTAGCAAGCATGATCAGAAGTACACGTTGCTATTTGTTGCTATTTGTTAGGCAATTCGATGATGTGTGCCTGATTTATGTCGCCACCAAAGTCCCGGGTCCCTGGCAGCCCTACATACATACACTAGTTGCAATTCTCTTCAAGATGCTGCCATGCATACGTAATAGGGTTCGGTGGATCTTCAGTTGCCGTTATATGCGTTATATGACCAAACCATGATCAAAACCGCTAATTTGGACGCTTAAGTTTTGTTATTTTTTCAAGCTAAGATTTACAGCATAGCAGTAGTACCACAGCAATGATAAGGCTTGGAACTCTTCTACAGACCACAGACGTCCTAACTATTGGCGGCTAGCAGGGGAAGGCGGATGTAACTCTCCTGCAACGAGGCTGCGGTGTTCCAATAGGAAGTCCGCCTGCGTGGTGAACGGGTGAAGCATCATGCAGGAGTCTCACCGCCCAAAAATCGAATACACCGCCTGGAAAATTACTTCAAAGCCAGCTTTTACGAATGGTGGAGAGAGCCGTATACTGTATGGATCATTATTAGTTAAATATAAATGACAGTTCAGCCAGGCTGACAGGAGTCCCTAATTGCCGAATGGGACTACGGGGGGGAGACATCTAGAGTTACGATCTGCAGTTGGGTTAAGTCTCTGCACGTATATTTTATATACTCAACCCAGATTCGAATGACGACCCTGTCGATATATAAAAGACCAACGTATATCTTCATTATGCCGTCTTATCATTATTGGGCGCGAGACTAACAAATGAGATCTATCATTCCACTCACAATTTTATCACAACGTCGCATATCTTATCTATGTTACTAGTGTAAGCTACCCTTTATCATACCCCTTCGGCTAGCTAGCATTTATTCCTTAAGGGCTTTCTATGGTGATGAATAACTTGAACCCCTCACCATATCATATGCGTGGCAACCGAAATGTTGGATGGTCGCAGCTATGACCGACCTGATAGATTTGATAGGCCAGCCCGTGACTTGACTACGAGGGCTATTGTGCGATTTCTCGTCCAGCCTGGAATCCTAATGTTACACGTGGGGTCGCCAGCTAGAAAATGATATTCCTTTATGCACACTTAACAATCTTGTCGTCGTTGAACTCAATCTCCCGAATGCCGTCTTTTGTAACCGCCTTGACCGTCATGCCCTTGAAATCAATAGGTAAACGCCGCTTCAGTTCGTCTGTACACATCTCAAGCACCTTAAGTCCTTGCACAAATGTCATGTCCGGGTGGTGGTGCTTGTCTAGGATCGAGAGGCAGTAATATTGTGCATAGCCGTGGGCAGCATAGGGAACAGATGCGAGAGCTGCAAGGTAGTCCAGCCAGAATAGACTGGGTTTGTGGGTGATGGGGTCGACGCCTCCTAGTAGCAGGTTGACGTTGTACGGCTTTCTAGATCTTAAGCTTGATGCGAGCTCACCGCGGACATAGTGTGCCAGCGCCGTAGGTGATAAGTCTGTCTCGTTTCGCATCGAATAGAGCTGCGCATTTGCCTGGATATACTCGGAGAATTGGACTAACGCCAGTTAGCTTTTAGAGCCGCACTTTCTTTCTGGAATTGACGCACTTGTATCACCAGCCTCGCCGGAGAATGCAACTAGCGTATGCTTGTTGAGTGATCTCGTTTTGTCATCAGAGGCTTTGAGGATGGTTGCTCCCCGCATCGCAGCTTTAGAAGCTGCGATTAAGGTAAAGTCCTTGCCGGTGATTCCTAACAATACCTCCCTAGTTTGGCTAATGTTAGTCTATCCGTTTACCTAAGATTTTATAATGATAGGCGGCATACATTTTGGGATATTTGTTCGGGTGGTGATGGACTCAAATGTGGTTTGTAGGTGTTGAAGAAGCTCTTGTTCCCAAATCGCTGGCGCTGTAGGCAAATGTGTACTATGTAGACGCGCAAGGTAGCTACAGCCTAGCAGCTGGCTGCCAAATCTAGAGCTTCAGACAGGTAGAACATCATCTAGTGGAGATCGGACGTCGGACACACTAGCCACAATTCCTCAGCCGCGCCCCGCTCTAAGATCACCTAAAGCCAATGGCTAACTAGATCACATAACTGAACATAGCAGCGTAGGTTAGGTATCTTTGTACCCCTAGGGTCCCCTGTCAGTGTCCCGCAGGACGTTGAACTTTTTTTTTTTTCTTAGCTACGAACCAAGTCTTTTGCTTCAGAGATGGAAATTTTCTAAAGGCACGAGACGACTAACACGCGTTCGAATTGATTAATCCAAACATTGTAAAACACCATAATGTCGTCATTTTTCACAGTCCCCGGCGCTCAGAAAAAAAGGAAACGAGCACCTGTTATAGACGGACCAAAAAAACGAGTCGCGACCACTAAAACTTCGAAGACACCCTCAAAACCCGCACCTGCACCTAGAAAACGAGTCGAACGAGATGAATCTATATCAGGGAGCGAATCTGAGAGCGAAGATGGCGCAGTACAGCTAGATGCGCCAGGTTCTGACTCGGAATCGGAGAACGAAGGAGAGACGGCGGCAGAGAAGAGGTTGAGACTTGCAGAAAGGTATCTCGACAACGTCCGACAAGAAGTCGACGAAACAGGCTTCAATGCTGAAGATATCGACCGCGATATAATAGCAACGCGTCTACAAGAAGATGTAGCCGAAACAAAAGGGAAAGTGTACAGGAAAATTGCTTCAGAGCTTGCTGTCGACAGGGCGTCTCATACTCTCTTCCGGTGTAATACGCTTGCAACTACATCTATTGCCGTATGCGCACCGTACGTGTATACAGTCTCAAAGGACCAATGCTTGGTCAAGTGGAAGTTACAAGACTTACCAGCCTACCAATTCCCGCAAACTACCAAGAAAAAGCCGAAAAAGCCTCCTGCTCCTCCGCGTCGACAGCCAACTAAGGTTGCACTGCGGAAGGGGAACCGGTCCAAGGCAAATGATAAAAATTATCAAGGCCATATAGCCGATATCCTATGCGTAGCAGCTTCTCAAGACGGCAAGTTCGTCGTCACGGGCGGCGCGGACAAGCGCCTGATCGTCTACGAGGCCAAGTCATTGAAGCCCCTGCGCGTCTTCACACACCACCGCGACGCCGTAACAGGTCTAGCGTTCCGACGAGGTACAAACCAACTCTATTCAGCTTCCAAAGACCGTACCGTGAAAGTATGGAGTTTAGATGAGCTAGCATACATCGAGACCCTCTTTGGTCACCAAGACGAGGTCGTCGACATCGACGCCCTAGCACAAGAACGTTGCGTGAGTGTAGGCGCACGAGATCGAACAGCTCGCTTATGGAAAGTCGTCGAAGAGACCCAGTTAGTCTTCCGCGGTGGGTCGATCGACAAGAAGCAAAAGCCAGAGATTGACCCGCGGTCGCTGGCCCACGAAGGCAGCATGGATCGCGTCGCGATGATCGATGATGAGCTCTTCGTCACGGGCAGTGATAACGGTTCTCTAGCCTTATGGAGTATACAGAAGAAGAAGCCTCTCTTCATCTTAACACAAGCACACGGCCTAGAAAAACCGCTGAAGCCGACGGAAGCATCCGCCGAAACAGCCCCAACCCCCAAAGTCGTACCCCCTCCGCAACCTAGGTGGATCACCGCACTCCGAACATTACCTTACTCCGACCTCATATTAAGCGGCAGTTGGGACGGATACGTCCGGGTCTGGCGATTAAGCGACGACAAGAGGAAAATCGAGCCAGCAGGAATCCTAGGAAATCCATCTACCGCAGACATCCCCGAAGACACAGAAACAGCAACCAACGGCGCGAACGGGGCCACCACAGCCGCCTCGTGGCTAGTCAAAGGCATAGTCAACGACATCGCTCTGTTTGAAAGAGGAGAGCGTGGCAAAGACGGCCTGTGCGTCGTGGTCGGCGTGGGAAAAGACCACCGTCTAGGCATGTGGAAGAAAATCAAGGGGGGCAAAAACGGCGCTGTCGTGTTCGAGGTGCCTAGGACGAGGGTTGGGCTTGAGAACGGTGTTGCGGATGAGGGTAAGGATGCCGGCGCGGAATAAAATAGTTCGGTAATGCATGAGAGGCTCGACATGAACCCTGCTCTGGAATAGATACCCTATTTTTACTCTTTACTCGCGTTATGAAACCTGCTTGTGTGCCGTATTATAAGACGATGAAATTCCCAACGTAAACAAGTGAGTATAAAAGTTGTAGTTTAAGCACTATTGAAGAGATAAGGTAGGTAAGTAGTAGCTGTAGTCGACGGCTTTATATTTGCTGTGCGATGAATGGAAGTGACCTGTTCTGTTCTTCATCTGAACCGACAATAGAGCAAGTCAGTCAGCGACCAACCACCATTATTATTTCAACACATTGGATTAATCTTGCTTTGATGGTCTACAACTTCTTCTATTCGGTGTATATAATAATACTGAACGCACACTATCTACCTATTCTTCTCAAAGTATTCTATATCTAGCGAACACTACAGTGCCCATACATCTAATTCTCTAGCCCTGGTAAGCTCAAGTCAGGAGCCAAATTCCAGGTGGAGGTTAATCAAGTCTTCGTCCGTTCTAATATGAGCTTATACTCCTTTCGCTTCTTCGCCTTCTTAGTGATTGCCGTCTTCACCACGCCAACTCCTCGAGCAATACTGTGGAATATGTAATGCTCCCCGACCCATGCTGCGACCAGATATGCCAAGCCCAATCCTAGTAGTGTAAGTTTAAACGATGTGCTAATCCTGGTCAGTTGCATCAACTGTCTGATCCAGTGGTCCGGTATAAAGATCATATATATAGTGATAGCGAGAGCCGTAAGGATAGTGGCCATGAAGGGCCCTATATAAATGGTTAACTGAAATTTCTTTCGAATGATTATAAGGGCATCGAGGACTTACAGTTTTGGGTCATGGGCTGTCTGAATGGTCGGCCAGCGTTAAGAACCACACCAATGAATATGTACTCGAAGCAAGACACGAGGAACAAAGTTGTGTTCTCCGAATTTTTGATATGAGGTTTGTTTCGATTTACCCGAGGAGGTATATACCTATGATATTCGTGTTAGAGCAGTGTGCTATAGATAATTCCTAAAGGCGGACTTACCAGGGTTGCTCCCGCACGATAAGCCACGCGGCAGTTTGTACGAGTATACAAACGGCCATATGGCATAATAATGGTATGAGAACCTTTCTCGAAACTAGATTCGCCGTCGGTCGCTTCTTGCTTAGAACTGGGAACGGGCCAGACCAGCCCACTGGTATGCTTATTAGCAATTTTGTTACGTCTTATGTTTTCTTTTCACTTACTGAATATAGCAATTGGCAATATAAGGAGAACATCGATAAAGAGGAACTAGGAACCAATTAGCCGCCAAGTAAAACGCGCCATTGCTGTAAGTGCTTTTACCTGGAAGTCTCCTAAATTCGAAGCTGAGGCGTAAAGGAAGCTGACAGAAGTGAACTGAATAGCTGAGTAGAGGCTCATATACTTGAAGCAGCTGAAACTAGTTACTAGAGCAGCTCGTCCCTCCCTAGGTACAACGTTAGCGACATGGGTGTGCTCAATATTCACACCTGTAGGGGTAAGCATACCGAATCACATCGGGAACACATCGAATATCGAATACCCTCGACGTGAATGGGGCTGCAACAGATGCTTCCGCTTCAGACAGTGATATTCCAACATCGGCGGCTTTGAGGGCGCCACAATCATTCGCTCCATCTCCACAGAATCCGACGCAATAGTCTATGCTCTGAAGTTTCTCTACAAGCTCATGTTTCTCGTCCGGAGACATGCGTGCAAAGACTTTACCTCGGACAAGCATCTGGTGCTTCGTTAGCTCAATCGCTTGATAATGGGGGTACTATTGGATTGATTGAGAAAGCTATATTACACACCCTTTGCATGACTTCGTGCGGAGCAAAGTCAATTATCCATCGGAAGACGTCACCGCTTACTGCGAGGGAGTAGTTTCTGAGATTGGATATGTCGTATGGTAAGGAAGCATCACGATCTACGGGAGCAGGTAAAGGCTATAATCGTTCGAATTAGTTTGAATTATGAACAAAGTCACCATATATATACTTACCAGTAGAGTTCGGTCGTCCAACTGATATGCTTGGTCGTCTATGCTTTCCCATTGTAAACGAGCGTTGGGATCGCGAGAGTTCCCTGTAAATCTTATGTTAGCGGTCAATAACCTCACATGGGAAACTTCTCGTGGTTCAGTATTAGACAAGATAGGCTGATCCATCGTATTTCTCATATGGCTGAATGTAGATTGTAGCGACTTACCTTCGGAAAAATGAGGCACAAAGCAATGCGCATCTTTCTCAATAAGGCCGCAATTTCTTGCGACACTAATAGCCGTCAAGATGTTATCACCCGTAACCATGATCGAGCCAATATTCGACTCTGTGAGTTCCTTAAGCACTGCAGCTGTCGTGGGCTTTAGTTTATTTTCGAAGATGATAAAGCCGACAAAATCAAGATCGGCTTCAACATCCTCGCGCTTCATTTTCTGGGATTTTACCCATGATAACTTTTTTATATGCCTAGTAGCACACGCAATGACTCGATATCCTTTGTGAGTGTAGTAGGATAGGAGCTCTTCATAGTCATCCGGGACTACGTAGTATATTAGTATAGACATAAGAAATAGCTCCCGAGGTCGAGATGACTTACAGCTGTCCGGTCGACATATATCTCGCATACAT